TCAAGTCGTGCATTTTGTAGGATAACTTCTGATCTACAAACTGATATATAAATAAAGATCGCGAGTTTTAGTTTTGAATCGCAATAGCTAAAATAGAAAAACTTTTTTTCGTGTACACTAATTTTGTGGACTTTTCAAAGATTATTTCACTACTATCGAATAAAATTTCTAAGTCCGTATTCAAAAAGAGCACAAAGTCATAGCTCTTGACCTTTATATTGCGGATATATATTCATAGTTTGAACTGAATTACAAATCAAAAGATATATTTTCGGGTCTTGTCATTTTTCAAATTTTAATACAACAAGGATTGAACTAATAATTATCTCAAATTAATTAATTTTTTATATAGAGCTATTTCAAAAATTCGTTCATATGATGATTTTGTGCCTTATTATCATCAATTCATTGAACAAATGGCCAATTTACTCGGTAGAAAAAAAAAAAACATTTTCTTAGAAAATCTTAAATAATAAAATTCTTTTTTTCAGAAGTATCAAAAGGTGATGAAATAATGCCAGCTATCAAAACACTTAAATTACTTGCACATGGTGAAAGTGATCGACCTGATACTAGCAATCAACGACCAGATACTAGTATTCAACGACCTCGTTCATTATTGCGTACATCATCATTAAATATACATAACAATTTGCATGAAAAAAATTTAATACATTCAAAATCACTTCGAATACTTTCGTCTAAGTCAAATATTGGAGAATCAAATATTAATCAATTTCATAGTTCTGGAAAGCATCTTGACGATAGTGAACAACATGCTGGAACAGAGGACGGAGATTCTTAATGAATATTGTCTACGCTTGCTTGTGTGTGCGTGTGTGTGAATTTAGAATAGATGCTTTTGTTTTTTTTTTGAATGTATCTTTTAACTTTAATTCTTGATACAAAAAAAGTTCACATATAATATGTTTTATTATGACAAATCAATCTATCGGTTTTAGTTTTCCATAAATTTGATCGGTACGTGTGAGAGAATATAGAGAAATTCGGAGAAAAATATAAATCTTGAAATTTTTTAGAATATTTATATTTAATGTTAAGTAGTATGTAATATAATGAAAAAGAAAAGAAAAGAAACGCACTCGTGATGAATCTATGGAATTAAAAATTTACACATTCATGTCACTTGATTGGAAGACTTACATTTTTTTCTTCTTCAGTTTTTTTTCAAAGATTTAATTTAAAAAATCTAATATACTTCAATCATCAAATTGTTCAACAACTCATTAAAAGTTAATCAATTTCAACTGAACTGTAATATATTTTACCAAGGATTTTTTTATGTTGTGGCGCTTCATTACTTCAATTTTTTTTTATGATTTACGTAAGCGTTTTTTTTTTTTAGAACAGTTCAATAAATCTGAAGAATAATTGAAAATCCAAATCAACTTCATTTACTATTTTCACACTTGAATATAAAATATACTCATAAGCACTTGAATATCAAATCAATTGTAAAAAAAAAAGTACAGCCTATCAAATGAATGCTAATCGACGAAAAAAAAAAATGACGCTTTTTACATACATTCTAGTAATGCTCAAGATTGAGACTGTACATTGAAAATGATTATAAATATGATAATTAAATGTAGAAAAAAGAAAATAGCCGATATTTCATCTTCATCAAATGAGAAGTATGCATATAGAAGAAAAAGAAACTGTATATAGCTATTATTCAGGATGAAATACGAAGGTATTTTAATAAAAATATACTAGATATTACGAAGATTGTTGTTTTTTTCTGAACTTGATGGCATCAAATTCATATGTTATGCCTTAGGTGTCACTCAATTAGTAAATTTAATGTTTTATAAAATGAACTTCTTCAATAGTACATTATCTACATACTTACACACTGGAATGACATTCGAAATTGCTAAAATATTTTAAGCACATACACATACCTTTTAGCCATCATTTGAGAGCTCTAGGAAAAATTTATTCCTTACAGAAATCTCATAATATCATGTTAAAGTAAACCTGAATCGTTGCATGAGACTAGACTTGCATCAAAAGCAGAACTAGTAGTCAAGTTTTAGTTTTGAGACATTAGAAGAGAATTGATATTAATGGGATCAACTCACAATGCTTTTCTGTAAATTCGATTACATATATTCTCTTGAGAGACACCTTTCATACAGGATTACTTTCAAAAAGTTGTTTACTTTGAACATGGTACATAGAAATCAAAATTCTAAATTATGAAAGAAACATTTTTAGAGGTAGAGTCTTAGTTTTATTATTTCTATGAACCAGCCTTTTTTCGAATAATATGAAGTATATATGCATCCTTTCACTTGGATTACGATTACTATCACTTTTGATCTTGATCTATATGCATGTCTTAATACAGATAAAAAATAACAGTATATATATATCCTCATCGTTCTACCATCAAGCAACTATTAATAAATAATTTCTTAGAAAAAAAATCAATATGCTAAAGTTTAACGACAATATATTTTTTATTTTTTTTTTGTATAATGTTAAGCAATAAGGTTAAATCCAGATAGTGATTTTAATAGCCGATGGAGTTTTCTATTTAATGCGTTCTATACCAAGATTTCGTAGGTGAATTATGATGACAAGGTTTCTAAGAAAAAATAGGAAACAGTAAGTTTCAGATCCCAAGAGACTTTGTCAGAACTATTTTTTAACAATATCATTTTGAAAAGCACAAAATTCTAAACCAAATGAGGAGTTGCTGTATGTTCTACGACTTTCTTTGAAAAAGTTGAAAGTATCACAAGAATAAAAAAAAAAGGTGTTTTTAATCGATTTTTTGATAAAAGCCGTTTTTTTTGTAATACTGTTAACTTTTCAAGAGAAGGTAGTAAGAAATACTGCAACTCCTCATTTTATTCAGAGTTTTCTCCTTTTTAAAATGTCATTGTTAACAAAAGTTCCAACAAAGTGTCTTAGGATCTAAAAACTACCGTGTCTGGTCTTTTAGGAACCTTGCCATCATAGTTTATCTATGAAATCTCGGTATAGAATGCATCAGATAGAAAACTTCATTGGTAATTAAAATCACTATCTGGATTTGAACGAATTGCTTAAAATTATAGGAAAAAAAATCAAAAATACATTGTTGTTGAACTTTTTCCTAACATCTTACTTTATGTGATCGAAAGTTCTTTGATTTTCATGAGTTAAAAACAAGTTTAATAAGAATCTGCTTTAGTACAATGTTATTTACATGAAAAACAGTCATCCATATGCTATAGACGTTTATTTAAAAGAAGACACCTTTCGAAAACCAGACAAATTGTTTCCAAAGTAAAATAAATTTTGTTAGAAGTTTATATGGATAAAAACGATGAACTCTGCACTGTGGTTTTTTCAAATATCTTTTTCTGATTGCACTACCAAGATTAAATTATCAATAGATCTCGACAACATACTTTAATCATTGTCAGCTTATGATTTCTTGTAAATATTTACTTCTGATCGACATATAATATTACATCTAAAATAGTATCCTGCAACCGAGTCGAGTACCTGGAATCGGACACGACCGGAAGCACGAGTTCAGATGCAAACTCGTCGCATTGTTTTGAGTGCCAAATATGGAAAAAAATTTCCATTCGGATCTCGGGTATCATCTCATACCTGGATCCGACCTGGTAATTAATAAAATCTTGATGTTTCAAGATATTTTTACTTTTTCAAACTGCTAATTTATATGAAAGTGCACGGAAGTGAAAACTAGTTTACTCATGATTGAGCAATTTATTGTACTTGAGACCAAGTCACAGAACTAAAAAGCAATATTATTTTACTAAAAGAATTCATTGTTAATAAAAATTCATCTAAAGACAATGATAAGCCATATGAGGATTTAACTGAATACATGACGAAAAAAATAGATTATCAAAAACGTAAATATGTATTATCGTGATGAAGAAAATATCCAAAACTATGACGTTTGATATCAATACTACATTATTCTAGTGTCATCAGCAACAGGTAAAAGTATATTTAGCGAAATCGATCGAATTTTGAGGAGCAGAAAGACACTAAGTGCATCCTAAACTATCCGATTTACTTGCTTTTTTGTGGAATTTGCGATAATTTCTTTTTTTTTGCTGCTGTTTATGGACGGAACTAAATAGTAAATCTTTTTATATAAAATAAAAGTTTAAAAATCGTACTGTGGAAGTATCTGCTGTATATCGATTAGCTCCAGTCCATATCTAATCTGGTACAGGCTATAGTCATTCAGGTATAATCACAAAATGACTGCATCCGGTTCAGGCTCGGGTATAAGAAGTGCAAGTTCGGGTCTGAAGAATTTCGATTTTAGTACATGCCTATATGAGACTAGACACGCATTAAACTCAATACTCAAGCCCAAACTATTTGAGTTTGGTGCATATTTACATGAGACATCAAAATTTTTCATGTAATGATATCATCAATCTATAAGAACTTCTGTCATATTTGATTTCTCGAATCAATCACATGTAGAAACTGCCTCATCTAATCTTTTGTAATATTGAAGATACTATTGAAAAGCCGGAGTACGAGGATACACAAACGAATTCATCAAAATTGACGAAAAGATTCATTCTTTTCAAATATCACTTATAATAATATATATAAATATTAATATTCCGTGTGATAAAATTCCGGCTTTTTCTTTCTATAAATTTAATTTTAATAATAACATTCTTAAGTAATACATTCCAACAGAAAAGAAGAAAACAAAAGAAGTCTATGGCAAGAAATAAATTTTGAATAATATAATCAATATAGAAGATATTCGATTTCAATATGAAACTACATTCAAGTATTTAATACATAACAAAATAACTGTCTAATAGTTAATTTAAACAATATGAAAAAGACTACAGATGATAAATACAATATTTTTTGTAAATACAGATCCAATTATAATATAGAATAACATTCATATTAGACATGCACATTACCAAAAATTTTTTTTTGTATAAAAGTCAATCGACAAATAAGAAAGATTAAGTTTGTAGTCGTTTTAATGAAGGCGTCTAAAATCAAAATAAATATTCTCTATTTTATTGTAATAAAATCTAACTTACTTTTTCATTTTTCTTTTTTACTCCTGCCTTTTGTTTGTTTTCAGAAGAAACAGGTGATAAAATACGAGATCGTTTATTATTTGGTTGTTGATTTTCATCAGTTGATTTACGCAATTTTAATATATTTGATACATTTTCGTCAGTACTAAAGATTTCCAACAAAAACTCGAATTTAATTCAATTTTTTTATATACTTTACCTGTTTGACTCAACAGTAAAATCATAAATTGATTCTTTTAATTTTCTGGAATTTTCATCTTCTAAAAATAAATGATTTAAGCTATATAAATCAAGAATATATTTACTTGTAGATTCTTTTTCATTTTCATCTATAAAAATACAAATTCTTTTTATTATAAAACTTTTTTCAATTAAAATATAGGGTGTCGGAAAATGCAAGTTTAAAGGGGAGTCTTACGTATATCTATGATTCGATATTTTTCGATAACCTACTTTTTCATAAAGAAGGTCAATATTTGATAACCGATAAATTGTCAATTTTTTGGTTATCTAAGAATTTTACAATTTTATTGCAGACTTAGCGTGACCAATTGAATTCGAGAAAGTTATTTGTAAATAATTTTTCTAGATTCAGTTTTTCACGCTGAGTCTACAATAAACAGTTTTGAAATTTGTAGGTAAACAAAGGATTGATAATTTATCGATTATCAAATATTGACCTTTTTTTTGTGAAAAAGTACATCGTCGAAAAAAAGTAAAATTTTTCCTCTAAAAACTCATTGCAAAAAAAAATGAAAACAGATATATTCTAGCTCGACCCGTCACGTTTTATGCAACCATATTTAAAAAAAATTCTGCTTTAATTTTGAATTTCTGGCATCTTACTTTTATCGATTTGTCCATTATCCAATACAGAATTAAGTGGAAGTCTAAATAATAATCAAATAGATAAATAGAATTGTTAAATAAATCTTTACTCTTTATGAAACTGAACTCGTTCAAGACGAACAACTACTGATCGATCAGATTCAGCACAATTATCTTTTGGAATATCTAAATATAGTCATGAATTTCTTTATTATATTTAAAAAAGAATAAATCCAATTCATACTTGTTTCTTTTTTCATAAGAGAACAATCTTTTGATAAATTTGAATCAATTTTTTCAATATCAAATTCTGTTATATCTAGTTCTGTCTCACTTTTAATAATAACTTTAAACAAAAAAAAAAAGAAAACGTAAATACAAAGAAAAATTTTTTGTGTTTTGCTCTATTTATAACATTTATACCTTTGTCTTGTTGAAAAATTGCAATATCTCCTTGAAGTTTTTCTAAAACAGGACGAATATTTTCAATAGGAACAATTGATGATGTATTATGTAATAATAATGTTGAAGCTTGATGAACAAGTGCTCTATATGATTGTATATGTTGTTCAAATATTCTTTGATAAAGTGTTAAACAATTTTGAAGTTCATTAAGAATAACATCATTTTGTTTTCTTTCTTCTTCATAATAAACATTATGAGCATTTAAATGAAATAAACATAATAAACGATCACAATGAATTGAACATCGAAATAATCGTACTAACTCATGAGTAGATGACGATTGTGAACATGCTGGATCTTCACAATGTCCTAGAGCAGATATCATTTTTATCTAAAAATTAATATTTATTTAATGTTTTTTAATTTTATTCTTTCATCGAATGAAAGAAATATCAATGTTTAAATAAAAGAAAATAACTTTTTAAAGGTTTATTTATCATTTAAAAATCTAAACTTAATCATAGTTACATTATAATTTTTTACATATGTTTGACAAATGAAACTCAATAAATAGAATTTCTCTTTGAAACTTTTTAATGATTAAGACTTTAACGGACTTGTCATTTAAAAAATTTAAGAAAACAAAAAATGTTGTGGAAAACATTTATTAATAATCAGAGACGTACCTTAATGTAGATATTAAACGAACAAAGAATGTCACATACTGATCGATAGATACATGCATCGTTATCTCTTAAATGAATCATCCTCTGTTTCAATCGAGAATATCCATCTATTATTATATTGTTGATCGTTTCTCAATCTAATTAGAATAGATCATCATCTAAACATTGTCAAGTGGTATCTCTTCATAATTAACGAAAGTTTATTTATTTGAACTTTCACAATTGGAGGTAATTAGATTGTAAGCGACATCTAGATAAATTGATTTCATTTGGTTCATCTTTGTCATTTTAAATATAGAAGATAAAAATCAATGAACTATGACCGACGACATATACGAACAAAAGAAGAAGAGATAACAATCGTTGTCACACTATTTGAAAATTGGTAAATGAATTTTCTATGAAAAGTTATTCGTCAATTTTATTAGAAATTTAATAAAAGAAAATTTTAGAGAATATTCTATTCCATTTGTAATATTAACTGTTGATATAAGTCTTTGAATGCAAAATCAATCATATTATTCATCAGCAAATACAAATTTATGAAAAATGATGGAGGTCAATTTCTCATTTAAGTCAAACAACATTCGATGCAACAGATTTCTTTTTTCTTTCTTTTGAGAAGCTGTTACAATGTAATGAATGTCTCCAGACACAAATACATGTTATTAATAAAAAGTGAAATCTAATTATAATTATCATGAAATTGTCAAGCAAGTTGTAGCATTTCTTCAGATGATCGGCATATATAGTCTGAATTCACAATTGAGAAGCTTTAATAGTCATTTTATATTTTTTTAAAACTCGATTTCGAATTTTGTTAGAATAAAATGATTATATATGATCTCTTCATTGAAAAATTCTTCCACTCGTCTACAATAGAGTTGGCAACAGACCAAACTGGATCGATTGATATGTCAAGTATATTTAATTCTATACCTTGGGATTAATATATCATTCTAGTTTCTGTTGTTCATTGAATTTATTTCCATAAAGATGAAGTAATAATAAGTTTTTGCACAAGATAGCAAATTAAAACAAAGAGACAATCATCATAAAAATTTTTCATACAATAAAGACTTGAATTAACGCTATGTATTTGATTATATCAGTACTGTTCTGTATAATAGAAAAAAAAATGTAATCATGATAGTGGAAATAACAAAGTGCCAGAATACTACGAAGAGGTAAAAGAAAATGCACAATGAAAATATAGGCAACAAAGGATACTTATAATAACACCGAAGGATATTTACATTTAACAATCAATTTTCGCAACAGCACGACCCCAAAAGTTTACTATTCAATTGTTTTGAATCTAAACAAATTGTTCTATCAATTAATGTAAGTCCTACAATATTAAGTTGATGTTCGATTCAAGTATTTATTGGTGAAATCGAATGAATTCTGTCAAAATACTTTCGAATAATAAAGAAATGCATCAACATTTGATTTCCAAAACGTAACAGCCAAGCCGACTGCTCTGATTTTTAACAAATAAAATTATATTAAATTTCTCTCGCATAGATTTTGTATTTTAATGAATAAAGTTAATTAATATAAGTAGAAAACAAAATTTATGAATATCTAAAACTACTGATTATATTCAATGTCATTTAATGGATTTGTATTTAATTTAAGTGTGAAATCTTCATTGAATTGATCATCAATATTATTTGATGAAATAAAATCTGATCTATTATTATGAATAAAGGGTTGTGTTTGTTCTGTTGTTGAATTATATTTGACAATAATTTTCATCATTGTATTTGATGTGTGTTCTTGATTTATATCATCATCAAAACTATTATCATTCATATGTGTTAATTGTTGATATGAATCAGCTGTAAATATTGGTAATTCTTGACGACGACGAAAACAAGAAAATTTATTAAACATATTTATTATTAATAATCGTCGTTGATGTGTTGAAAGCATATAAATACATCCTAAACCAACTATCAAAGATATAAGAATAAATATAAAAGATAAAGATGATAAACTATGATTATTATTATTATTGTTTTTATTATTATTAATTAATTGAGTATTTTCTTGACACATTCCTTTTGGAATATAAATATTTATTTCTCCTTGCATTTGATGACAATTATGAATTTGTTTATTAAATGAACATTTATTTTCTTCATATTCTTTTTCATCCAGAGACATATTAAAATAACACCATGGTGTAAGATCTTTTAAAATTAATGGATTAACTGTATGACGAAGACGACGATATAAATAAAGAACTGAACATGAACACAAATTATTTGGTAGAATTTTAATTGGTATATGTGCTGGTATATCAATAATTCGACATAAATCATTATCAGTTAATATTCGATCAAGAATTTCTAAACGTTCTAATGTTATTGATTGATTAAAACGAAAATAAAAATCTGTTGAATTCATTATTTGAAATAATATTTGACCACCTTGACCTTATTAATAATATTTAAAAAAAAAACAGGAAAGCAAATTTTAAATGAAAGAAAAATATTTAGAAAAAAAAAATAATTACCTTCATTAATATTAACAAAAGCATTTGTTGCCATTTGTAATGTTCCGTATGAATGTTGAAAACCAATACGCATTATACTTGAACGCCATATATCAATATTTTGAATAGCATTATCTTCAAATATTAAATTTTTTCCATATTTTATCCAAATATCAAGTAATGATCGATCTTCTTGATGAAAATAATTTAATGATTGATGAGAAAAATAGACATCTAAAGAATTTGTTATAAAAATTGCTAATTTTGATTGTGCACGTTGACTTATATTAATAAATGTATTCGGTGTAAAAAGAATATTTTTTCCATAATTTATTTGAAATTGAAATGTTGAATTAATATCTTGTTTTATTTGACTAAATGTTTCAGCAGGTAAACATAAATCATTTGTTATATTATATATTGAAAATATTATTGAAGATTTTACTAAAAATAAAAAAAAAAACAAAATTCTTCTTATTTAATTGAAGAAAAAAATATATATTTAAGAATTTACATTGTGTTATTGTATCGAATAAAGTTTTCTCAATAGTTATACTTTGAAAATTTGAAAACGTTAAATAAAATTGTGATTGATCAAGTTGATGAAGATCAAAAAAAGATGTATGATCAAGTATAGCATATTGAAAATGATCAAATTGTATTCGTAATTGACTTGCATGTTCTTGTGTTATATGATCAAAACTATGTTCATTTAATGATACTCGAAGAAAATTTGAAAAATAAAATTCCATTGTTGCATAAGATGGTAATAAAATCGAGCCTAAAAGTTTTTAAAGACAAAATAAAAGTAATTTTTCAATGTAGAATAATAAGCAATTTTTACCTGCATTTGATTGAAATTCTAATTTATCTTTTAAATAAAGTATTGAAAATCGAAATTCACTTTCATAACTATATTTAATACCATCAAATGCATACTGTTCTACTGTTAATAATGATGATGTTACATTGAATATTTCAATATCAATTTTAGATTTTGGTTGCATTGATATTTCATCAAATATTCTTGTTGGTATTCTTGATGATGTATATTTAGATATTTTAATTGACAAAGTTCGTTCTTGATCAATATCAATTTTCGAAAATGTATTTGTTGATATACCATTTAATAAAGCAAATTGTATTGTAAACGATTTATTACTATCATAATCAAATAAATCATAGGAACGAAATGCTTCTGATGGTAATATATTAACATTTTCATCAAAAAATATTACATTATAATAATAACATGTACGACATTTACTAGGTAATGATGAACATTGAATATATCCATGTGTTGAACTACATGTACATTGATGACGTTGAAGATCTTCATCATTTGAACAAGAGGCATTAGTTTGAGTAAAACAACTAAATAATAAACACCATGACCACCAAGTTAGGTATAAGAACAACATGGTCATATGTGCGTGTGTTCGTCTGTCTGTCTGGCTGTCTACTTGTATGTAGAAATATATATATATATATGGTACGGGTGAACAACTCAAGTGTTGGATACGTATATGTATGAAATAGAAGCGGTCAATTTTTTACCACACATTTTCTTTGTGAGACAGAGAATGAACGAAAAAAAAAGAAGTAAAGAAAAAGAATAAAGAATTGAATTGCTTGTACATTGAATTTTGTTTCTACTCTTTGCTGTTGATCAGTTGTGTACGATAACAACTGATTTGTGACCTAATGTCCATTAACAAACTGATGCCCCTCATACAAACAAAATGAATCTCATTTTTCTTTACTTATGTGCCTGTAAGCACTAGACTTTTTCACAGTTATAGGAAAATAATTATTCTTATTGGCAAAGCAAAATAGATAAAGCATATAGCACAATCAGATAAATCATATGAAACTTGCCTGTTGAATTTTCGAATTATTTACTTTCATTTCATAGATCTATTTTACTGCGAAACTTCTCTCAAATATAGTTTACTATCTGTCATATAGCATTCAGTGATGTATAAAATGTAAAACGACTCAAGTGGAAAAAATCTTAAGAAATTGTACAAATATTTTATTGTAGAATTTAAAATTTATCTGACTGTGAAATGCTACTGTGAATCTTATTACTATAAAATTTTTGCAAAGTCTAATGATTGGAGTCTTGTAAGATTGTATTCAAATCATAATTTTAGTTTGCATTTATACAATTTATTTTGATAATGATAGTTTTGT